AAAATTTAAATTTTTTTGAAATCCATGGGATCACCAAATCATAACCTGAAATCTTGAAGATTTTAGGTGACAAAGCCAAACCTTCCCAAAGGTTTCACTTTTTCCCCCCCCCCCCCAATTTTGGCACCAGTACTAGAGATTATAAGCAATATCCTTGAGGCCTTGGATTGCAGACTGGGAACAACTGAGGCAGAGTTTTAGACTGCATTTGCAGCTACTTGCCTTTCCCTAACAAGTCCAGTCCTCCAGCTCCAAAATCTAGCCTCCAATACTATGATTTCACAACTCAAGTGCTTTTCCATTGCAAATTGTTTCATTACTGAGACCAAGTCAGATTCTATATAATTAATTAACATTTAAAAATGAACCATATTCAGCACAGGTACTACATTGATAAGATCTTCTTTGAGTAAAATTCAACTTCATTTTTACAGATGCATCCATGTAGCTTTTTCCCCAACAGTGTGGAAATGATTTGCCACTGGTACCTTCTAAGATTCTCCCCCCCCACTTCCCAGTCTAGCCTATTGCCTTAATATTGCTCAGACATCTCCCCTTCAAGTACCAGCAGGCTCAACTCCGCTTAGCTTCAAAGCCCAGACAAAATGCAGCCAGCTGTTAATCAAATGCCTCCATGAGTGCTGTTAAATAAGAGATCACTCCCAGCTGAAATAAATCTAAGATGTTCACTATACATATTCCAAAGTTAGCAGTCTTATTGACCAGCTCCATGAAGGAGGCTTGGGCTTGAAATGAAGCCTTGAATAAAGACCAAGGTGTCATGTACTATGTCAGGCTGTCTCTTTAGTAGCCTACTTGGCTCTTAAGCCATTAAATATCAGTGAAGGGTATTCACTTTTTTTCTTAAACATTTCTCACAGTTTGTTTGAAAAAGCTGACACCAACACAATTTTAACTACTGACTCTCAACTGCTGCTATGTTTGCCTTGGAATACCAGGTCCACAGAGAACAGGAGATCTGCACAATATATAGATATCTGAGACATATACAACTCTTCACTTGGTTAACTAGGCTCTATTCTAGAGAAACTGATACACAATGGCCTCAATTATCCTCATATGTTAAATCAAGTTAGCTAATTTATCAGAAATCTTGCTAACAAACCTCTCCCAGGGTTTCAGTGCAGCAAGGCTTCCCTGTTACATTGAAAGTGTTCTTTGTCTTAAGCATCACCCATTAAAAAAATGTAACTTACCATAGCTTTATCTAATCAGGCAAGGCACCTAGCCCATTTAGCCTTTGAGCATGCAGTATCGCCACAGTCTTCAGAAATCCAGAGAAGCATCTGGGGTAATACTGTCTTTCTACACACAGACCTTTGCTTCTCCATGTAAGCAGCACAAAATTTCCCCAACTGTTGTTTTCCTCAACACTGACATCTTAATTATTATTATTACAGTTTTTAAATTGCACTTGAATGCTTATTCTTTCCAAATATTAAAATATTGTATGGTATCAAGAGGAAATGCCAGGTCCTCTTCACGTAACAAAAGCAGAACCCAGCATTTTTTCTACTGAGAGGGAGTTCTATCTGGAGTTTCAGAGAAGTGAGCAATATATATATATATATATATATATATATATATATATATATATATACACATACATACATACATATACA